ATTCCAGGCAGCCGGATGAACACCCCAAAAGCTTCTTCCTCATCCCTCCCTTCGTTCCTTTCCCGTGTCCACATCCCCTCAGCAGCCCCTTCCTGGTCTCTCTGCCCTCTCAGACACAGCTCCTTAGCCTGCTAGGTTCTGGGGTTCATGGATTTAAAGGTTGGGAACCTTGGAGAATAGGAAGGCTTCCCTGGGTCTCTAGTGTCCTTTCTGCCCTACCCAGGAATTTCCTATACCCACTCTGATCAGCTCCCCCTTCACCTGGGTCAACCAAGAGTTCAGAAGAAATTCTGGGAAGATTTGAAAAAGCACCCTTCTGATCATTCCTCACTATGGCCACCAGGTGTCAGACTTTGTCCAGAAGGGACGAGGTCCCGGCTAGTCCCTAAGAGCCACGTCCTAGAGGTCAGGCAAGCTGGGGAGGGACCTCCACGTTATCTCTGAACTAGTCAGGCTACGAACCCTGGAGGTTAAGATAAAAAGGACTGGAACCCAGACCCACGGCTCTCTCACAATTATCCCCCCACTACCTCTGTCTCTACTCTGCTGCAAGGGTTTTGTCTCCTCCTACTAGGGAATTTGGATACCAGGCTGAGTCAGGGAGCTCAAGAATCCAGAGGACAAAGGCAGGGATAATTACCGCTCCAGAGAAGAAGGGAGAACTCAGAGGAAACAACCGTCAGACTATGCAGCCAGGCCTGAACCGCTGACCTTTGTGCTGGAGGCTGGGGGAACACAGGACCGCCCTCTGCCTTCTCCATTTTGGGTAGCTGTGGCAGTGGCAGCTGGTGAATGTGTTTGTGTAAGAGAAGTGCTTGGATGAGTTCCCTCGCTGCTGAGGGGTCCCTGTGTCCTGGCTGCTTGTCATTCTCTGGTGAGCTATGATGAGTCGCCCCTGCCCAGATCCTCCTCAGTGCTGGCCCTTAGCCTCTAGGAAGCTGCCTCTTCTCCTAGGTACCGGTTTTGTCTCCCGTGCATCTTCTCAGACACAGGTGCATCTCCAAACACTTAAGACGACAGCGAGGTTTCCAATACATATGTGTTCTCTGGAGACAAGGAGGGCGTCCACCCCTTTCTTCTCCCCTCCTGCTCCCCCCCCCCAAGGACACAGGGCTTCTGGAGACCATGCATCTAGGCAAGAGGTGGGGGCAGAGTAAGAGGGGGCACTTTTCAAGATTAAGGACCAGCAAGACAGGATTGGCAAAGTCAAAGTCGGGACATGAGGGACCCCAGGGCACTGGCAGTGGGGTTGTGGAGCAGTTGTGAGCTGTTGTGCCACACACTACGAAGGACCAAGAGCAGGGAGGGAGTGGACCGGAAGAGATGCTTCTTGTGGGGAGCGCTGGAATCCCACGTACAGAAAGCTGGTGTGGGCTTAGTAGCCACGGGTGAGAACAGGTTCAGAGAGAGCGTTTCAGAGCTTTAGTTCTCTCTCTCTCTCTCTCTCTCTCTCTCTCTCTCTCTCTCTCTCTCTCTCTCTCTTTCTAGTTTTTCAAGACAGTCTCTTGTAGCCCAGGCTGGCCTGAAATTTGGATTGTAGCCCAGGCTGACTTTGATTTACTATGTGAACGAAGGCTGGCCTTTGAATCAGCGATCCACCTGCCTCTGCCTCCTGAGTGCTGAGATTAAAGTCGTGCACAACTCTTTTTTGTTGTTGTTGTTTTGTTTTTTGTTTTTCGAGACAGGGTTTCTCTGTGTAGCTTTGAGCCTTTCCTGGATCTCACTCTGTAGCCCAGGCTGGCCTCGAACTCACAGAAATCAGCCTGCCTCTGCCTCCCGAGTGCTGGGATTAAAGGCGTGGGCCGCCGCCGCCGCTGCCCTGCTCACTGCACAACTCTTAAGTGTGGTCTTAAGAGTCAGAAGTCCAGAGAAACCAACGCACAAGTCTACCTGGACCCTTCAGTGTCATAGAGGGAGGGCGCTGTCTCCAGAAGCCCTGTGTCCTTGCGGGGGAGGAGCAGGAATGGAGAAGAAAGGGGTTGACACCCTCCTTGTCTCCAGAGAACACTTATGTATTGGAAACCTCGCTGTGCTTGGAGATGCACCTGTGTCTGAGAAGATGCACGGGAGACAAAACCGGCACCTAGGAGAAGAGGCAGCTTCCTGGAGGCTAAGAGCCAGCACTGAGGAGGCTCTGGGCAGGGGCGAGCTGTTGCTGGTTTGGTAGGAAATGCCACAAATGGGACTCACAAGAAAAATGTGTCTGCTCAGATCACTTGGTTCTTCGCAGCAAGCACCTGGATTCTCTCCTTTTCGTCTCTTCAGTTTGTACCCCAAATCTCTCCTTTCAGCTACCACCCCCACATTTGGCAACAGCGTGTTTAGATCTCTTCTCTTTAAAACAGACAACAATAAGCCTCCCTTGATACTCTCCCTTCATGACAGGGCACTGAGAACATGTATACACTCCTGCGCTTTTCACACTGTATCTTTCTTGGACTCACAGTTTGATGTCTGCCTCTCACCTGCTATTTCAAGGGTTCGTACGTGGTGGGCACGGTGGCACATGCCTATCATCCAGCCTCAGGACACTGAAGCAGGAGGATCACTGTGAATTTAAGTGAGCCTAGTCTACATAGCCCCCTACATCCAGAAACAAACAAATCGCCTGTACTTTCCCAACCGCCCTAGTGTGTTTTCAGGAGCAGCCAGCAGAAACCTCCACTTCCTTCTCTCAGTTTCTGTGGAGCAGGAGACTGCTGATCAGCTCTCAGCTTCTAAAACTCTCTTGTTTTGGACAGGCTTTATATCAGTTTCCATCAAATTACCAAGGACTTGACTGTCAGGAAATACACTAAAACTCTGGATGTATGGCTAGGCAGTCCTGGAGCCTGCCCTCAAAACGCTGTCTGCCTGAGGAGACTCACTTGCGTCCTGCCCTGTCTCCTCCACCTGTCCAAAATCGTCCCACCTTCTGAGAATGGTTTTGAATCCCACCCTGTGCTGTTTTCAAAGAGTGCATGAGCGTTTGCTGGACCGTGCGATAAATACATCAATAGCTTCAGGCACTGCTCCCTTCCCAAGTGCCACGGCCTAGACCCTTCACCACATTAGGTGCAGCCCTCTGTGTTAGGTTTAGTTTTGCATGTGTCTGCCTGCTTGACTTCCTACCCTTCTTAAGATTCATTGGTTCTCCTTTTCAAAACATCATGTGGGTCCCAGAGATAAAATTCAGGTTGTTTGGCTTGGCTACAAGCGTCTTTACCCACTGAGCCCTCTCGCCGGCCCATCGCCTAGGTCTTTCTCCATTAAGCAAATCCGCCTCGTGGCATCCTAGCATTTCTGGGAGATGGTCCTGCTCCCTTTTTTAATTGTTTTGTCCACCTTACAGAATTCACCTTTAGGCTGGAGTCTGAGCTGGGTGCTAGCAGAGGGGCGAAGAGCAGACAGAGCATGGCGGTGTAGGCCTGTTAGCCTGGCACTGCGGGGGTGAGGGCAGAACTTCAAGTTCAAAGGCAGCCTATGCCAGAGTGGGAAAAAAGATGGGGGAGGAAAAGGAGGGAGAGAGAGAGGAGAGGAAGAAGAGGAGAGGGAGGAAGGGGGGGAGAGACAGAAGGAAAGAAGGAAGAGAGGAGGGGGTACTAAAGAGAAAGACCTGGAGCCTCGCGAACTCCTGGGAGAACCTCTGCTTTCCTTACTGCCTTCCTCCTCGCCCCTGTAATATTTCCGTATCACAAGCCAGGACGCTTTTTCCTGTGTGTAGAGAAAGCCCTGCCTGATGCCCTTTCTAGTGTCTCAGGCAGAGGCGGAGTCTTGTGAGTGTCTGCACAGGTGTCTCAGTCCATGGAAGCAGGGCCTGTTCCACCCGGGGCCAGGTGACTCCAGGACATGACACTGAGGTTGGCTAGCCCGTGGGCAGTCAGAAGCTCCTCCACGGTCACCCTCCTTTCACCCTCTTTTGGGGTCATGCACTTGCCTTTCCCACTACATCACATGAATGTGCTTCTACACCTCGTCATTTCAGGGAAGCTGGTCTTTCTTCCCAAGTAGATTGCAAGTTTCACAAGGGCAGGAGCCGAGTTGGGCCTGAGTCTTCTTTTGGCTTCAGTATACCCAGCCAGTAGAGTGAAGGGCAGGTAATTAGGTCTTTAAAGTATCTGTCAGCTGGCTGGCACTACCACCATTTGTTACTTCCTTCCTTAAGGCATTATCTTTAGGAGGCTCTTCTCATAAAATATCCATGTTTCCTGGGAGCAGTTAACCCATGAATTTATCTAGTAGTTCACAGCTAGAATGGCATGGCATAGGGATGCATTTCAACTACTCAGTAATTACTACAATGGCTGCTGCTATCACCAAGTACCTTTAATATTTCTAAGAATTGCATAAGCATATTTAGTTATCCCCATTTTACAGATGGGGAAACTGAAGACAAAGAAAACTTTGTCTAAGGCTACCCAGCTAGCAGGCTATAAAATGATATTGGAGCTTAGACTATCCTTCCCATCCATCCCATTCTCTTGCAATCCAATAAGCATTCTCTTCCTCCAAACAGGGTTTTCATTGGAGGGAAAAGAACAGATCCATAGCGAAGAACACCGACTTGGCTAGTGTCCACCACCCTCCCTAGGAGAAGAGTGGGCGAGGGCTCCGAGAAGGCAGCCGCTAATGGGAGCCCGGGGGAGTTTGGGGCTGCATGTCAGGGGTTAGCGATTAGCAGGAGTCCGAGAGGAGCCTAACAGCTCCCCCCACCATGTGTAGGTTGAACTAGAGTGGAGAAGTTCAAGGCCAGACAGACCTGGGGGACCAGCAGAGCAGTCCAGAGGCAAGGAAGACTGGCAAACGTAATGCACACAGCTTCGGGAGGACCGAGGCACTTCAGGTGTGGCGAAGGGATGGATGGGTTCCAGGAGCCCGTGTTGCACCAGGACCAGCCGAAAGAGCCTGCACCCCAAGCCCTGTATACCTCTAGGTATAAGGAAACAATGGGAATTGGCAGGCAGGGCTAGGGTCACCAGACATGTGCCCCAGGAAGACTGTCAGGCCAGGCAGAGTCCAAGTTCTGGGGAAAGCATTTTATTTGTTAATACAAGAATAGAAATTCTGCAATAAATATCATCTAATAAATAACATCTCCAAATAAATAAATATTAATACAACAAACTTAGAGTCATGAGTGGGTGGGGGCTGGGGATAGGGCCTGGGGAGCCACCCCCTCACCCCACAATGCTACTGCAATGTAAACTTTCAGGAAACCCTGTGGCTGTGGCTGCCCTCCCCAGCCCAGGCAGCCACAGATACCCTGGGAAAGGGGTGGAGAGGAGGCACCGAGATGCCGGCAAGACGATTCAAGGCGAGGTCCTGATGCTCCACATGGCTTCTGTTTTCCGCCCTGTGCCACCGACAGCCTTGGCGACTGCTGGGTCTGGTCTGTCCCTGCCCTGCTCTCTTTAGTATTTCATCTTCTGGTTTCGAGACCACCTCCCGCACAGACCCTACCCCTCTGCTTTCTGTCACACCCTTGTTTAGACTGGCCACCTTATTTCCTGAACTGGATATGTAGTTATTGGGGTAGGGGAGCAACACCCATCCAAGGAGAGGGAGGGAGGCCAGGGGCCTTTACCCCAGAAAGGCACAAGCTACAGTGGCCCCCACCCATGCCCTCCAGGTGCGCTTCTGCAAGTGCCACATGAGGAACTGAGTGGGCCCTGGCAAGTGGCAGGCAGGAAGCAGGAGGCGGGAGCACCTTTATACCCACCTGAGCCATTGGACTTCCTCGAGCTCTGCGGGAACAGGATAATGCCCACTTCCCCTTTTCCCCAGACCCTAGGACTCTAGGAGCTGGTCAGGAGACAGGGCTTATCGCGTTACACTCCCCACCCAAGGGAGAGGAGGACAGAGTTCCCACTGTCTGTTTCCTGGCTCAACAAATGTTGGTATACAGGTTTGTTTGTTTTTTTCCACCCCAGAATGGAAACACAGCTGACTGGGGCAGGGACTGGGAGGAGTTAAGGGTCAGGAATCAGAAGCCATGGGCCTCCAAGTGCAGGGTGACCGAAGCTGCCGGAGGCTGCATCTTCTTCTTAAGCCGGTTGAAGTCCTTGGCTGAACGCCACAGCCAGGTCTGCAGCTCCTTCAGCAGCCAGAAGTCATCCATCTTCTGGAGGAAGTCACTGTGGGCAGGGCCAGGGGCCCAGGCTGGCTCAGTCCCTGGCAGAGGCTGGGGCAGTGGGTAGCCGAGAGCTGCCATGACACCTGCAATACTGCCCAGCAGGCCCTGGAGGCTGGTGCAGAAATGGGCCAGGCTGCGCCGGAGTTCGGCCGTGGCAGCTTGCCTGTTGAGGCCGCGCAAATAACACAGGAGGTGGCTGTAGGCCTCATAGTTCTGGGTCAGCCGCAGCTTGTCACTGAGGCTTCGCCACACTTCCAAGTTGACAGTGGCCTTGGGCAGGGTCTCGGCCCCCAACCGAGGAGGATTGAAGTCAGGCTCGTTGAAAGGGGGCCCCAGGTAGTTCAGCTGTGAAAAGGAGAGGACGATGGGGAAGGAGGAGAGCAGAGGTGCCAGCCTGCCACCGGAGGGGAGGGGTACCTCCTCCCAGACATGGTAGGCCTCTGTTCACAGACCTCCTGGGTTTTTCTAGCAACTGCGTCCCTTGCATGGAGGTGACAGGTGAAGCAGTGGGGTGATGAGCTCTCCTATGGAGAGGCGTAGAAAGAGAAGATCACCAAGGAGCCGCTCAGGAAGGACGTGCTGATTGGCTGGGCGGAGAGCGCCCACCACAGGGCAGGGCAGAGAAGAGGAAGACCCCGAGGAGCCAGCCTGGAAGCCAGGCTGGAGAGGTAGAAGGCGGCCTCTGAGACTGCAGGCCAAGGGAGAGCGCTGCGCGCGGGGCAACTGCAGAACATGAGAGGGAGTCGCAGAAAATGTTGCCGGGTTTGGTGAGAAGATGCCTGGCGACCTGGGAGAGCCGGTGGCTGCGGCCTGGAAGCCAGATCGCAGGGGGTTAAGGAAGGAGTGGGTGGAGAGGAAGTGGAGGCAGAGGGTGTAGACGACTCCTTGAAGAAATTTGGCAGAGAAAGTCAGGAGAGAAAGGGTCGGGAACTAGAGAGGGTAGCAGACGCAAGCCGAGGTTTTCTGCGCAGGGAAACCAGCCAGAAGGGAGTCTGTATTGAAGGCCGAGGGGTCTGGCGGCACCGAATCTCCTCTTCGGGAGGCCCAGTTCCTCAAGCCGCAGGGACAAGGGATAGGGGACACTCACCAGCACCCCAGAAGAGGGCTTGGCTGCTAGGAGCAGAGCTGTAAAGGAAGAACCTGAGGACATCTCAAGAGGGATAGGAGAAGGGCATGCGAGGCGGTGGAGTCGAGGGAAGAGGGCAAAGCCCTTGCCAATGCCTCAGGGGATCGGCCTGAGGCCCAGGGAAGGGGATGTGGGAGATGTGCAACTGGGAGGGAGAGAGGCGAGGGGCGAGGCCTGGGAGAGGCAAGGGCCCAGGGGGAGGTTCGCAGGCTGACAAGCACAGAGACAAACTAATTTCCTCGGTGTATCCTGGGGCTGGAGCCAGCTCCCCCGCCACCCTCCTCCCCTTTTCTTCCCTGGCTCAGGAGTAGGGTCTGGGATGTGGAAGAGGAACACGGGAAGAGGGGGCCTGTTCCCCATGGTCCTCAGCGCCTCCTAACCTCTTCCCGGCTCTCCTGGGCTCTATGAAGTTCTCTGGACTACCTCAGATTCTTAGGGTATAAGCACCCTCCATAGCCTGAGGCCCTTGCTGCCACTGCCCTGGATTCTTTGTGGACCCCTCCTCCGACACCCCCTAAGAGGCCTGTGAAGGATGGGAGAGGCAGACGGAGGGAGGCCCACGGGTCTGGAGCAGCAGGGCCCCAGGTCTGGGGGTAGAGTCAAGCTGGAACACAAGCACAGAAGGTGGGGCCCCTCCATCCCCACCCAGCCCCGCCCTTGCAAGAGACACCACAACACGGTGTAAACAGAGGAGACTTCCCCAGCCCCCGGGGGAGGCAGGCAGCTGGGCTGGCAGCCAATGGGGCAATGGGCCAAGGCGGGTTCGAGGCCTGCCCACATGCCTAGTCCCGGGGCCAGGATGGGGGGGCACCTGAGAGGGAAGGGCAGGAGATAGGCCGGATGGAGAAACTGTGTGGACCCAAAGGGCCTCTCTCATCACCCCATTGCTCACCAGGACCCCTGCACCATGCTCTCCCCCCGCCCCAAAGCCTCTGCCCAAAGTAAACGGGATACTCACATAGGTCCCAGCCAAGCTGCGGAGTTGGTGCTCCAGGTAGCGGGTAAGGTCATAGGTTTTCTGGATGGAGGGGCCAGGCCCTGGATCTCCTGTGCGGTTAAGAGCTGGCACTGCAGGGAGGTGCCAGAGCACCGTGCATAGGCAAGCTAACATCCCCCACGAGTCCCCTGTGGACAGGATGGGCAAGAAGTATGAGGGTGGGCCCAGGCCCAAGTGGGGAGACAATTGGCAGCCCCTCAGGTGTCTGTCCCCACCTTGGGCTAGGAAGGGGGGTGAGGGTGAGACACCAGATGGGAGGTGGAGGGGATGGAGGAAGGGAACCACTTCTGGTCCAAGAGTGGATGTGGAGGTATGTCTGCAAGGACGAAGTCCTGGCATCTGTGTCCATCATCAGTCGATACTTGACTGCATCTGTCAGCTCAAAGTCTTCGTCATGAATGTCACTCTATGTGCCAAAATTGTGTGTGTGCTGAGAGGGGCAGGCCAGGCTTGAGGGGCCTTATGTCAGTATGTCGGAGTTCCAGGTGTGTCCCAGCCTCTTCTCCATGTCCTCTAGTGTCACTGCAGCAGGAAGTAAGGGATGGGACTATGGCCTATGTTAATTCTGGCAAGCTGTGAGCACGAGCCCTGTGGAAGAGCGAAGAGAGGCAGCAGCATGTGAGGCAGGAGTAGGGTTCGCAGCCAACGTTGGCCTGAAGGGGCCAAGAGGGTCTGTGGAGTGAGAAGTGGTGGGTATACACTAGGGTACAGCTCCTGGCTGTGATGAGGGTCTGATGGCGTGATCTGAAGGAGATGCAGTATTCCCCTGAGTGGCAATATAGAAGTTTGATATCCCACCCGCCTTGTTTTCCGGTAGTGCTAGAATTAAAGACGGCCTGTACATGCAGGCAAGTGCTCTACCACTGAATTATAGCCCCAGCTCTTCTCTGTTTTTTTGAGACTAGGTTCTCCCTAAGTTCGATCCTTCTGCCTCAGGCTCCTGAGTGGCTGGGATGATAGGCCTGTACTGCAGAGCCTGCCAGTGCCTGCCCTGCCTTTATCTGGAGTGTTGGAGGGGCAACATCAAGGGGAAAGATGGGAGTTTGAAGAGGCAGGCTGGTCCGCAGACGACAATGGAGGGCTTGTGTCCAGAAACCAGTTGAGGCTGGGAGAAGGGGCAGAGTCAGGTGGGAAACACTTTCCTAAAGGGCTCTTTAGGTGAGGTCCAAAGATCAAAACCAGTACCCATCTGGGCTAGGATAGGGTGGGAATATAAGTAGCTGTGGGCTAGGTTAGGCTTAAGGACTAGGTTAGGCTTAACATTTCCGATGAATTTAGACTTGGGATTTGGTTGAGTGAGCGTGGTTGAGATTTGAGTCCAGGAAGGGGATGTGGTTATGTTTGGGCAGGCAGAAGGTTAGTTGGGACTAAGATCTGTGAATTTGTTGCTTTACACATTAGATAGAATGGTGTTTGGCAAATCACAAAAAGCAGGGATAGTTTGGGTTTTAAGCTTGGATAGGTATGAGGTCAAGTGGTTTCTTTACTCTAGTTTACATTTTATACTTCCAGATTTTTCTATAATGACACGTTTCTTAGAAACAAGTGGATAGGCTTAACAATTTGCCTGTATTCAGACTCGGGACAGGGTTTGGATGTAAGAAGCCATGAAGACGAGATTAAGGTTAGAGTCTGTCATATGCTGAGCCTATGGAAGTCACCGTTGGGACTCTTGGTCGCATATAGAATACAGGAGGCAGCTGAGGGCTTCAGCTGTGGCACGGGTACTCAGCACGGACTCTCGGGTGCTTGACGAAGTCAGCTTTGCAGGTGGAGGGAGCACAGGAGGAGGGGTGTGTGCACGCGTGCGTGCATATGTGTGCAAGTTCACATGTGTTTTCAGACAGCAGGATCAGACACTTAACTGCTCCCTGGACAAACAGGCTCTGCTTCGCTGCCCCCATGTGTAGCCTTGGTCCTTCCTTGGTCCTTTCCATCCCTAGTTCTTACCTAACTGTTTTCCTTTCTAGTCCCTGATTACCGAATCCCCAAATACGTCCAAGTTCTCCTCCTGTGTACCAAGCCTGGGCATCTGGTGAAGTCCCCTGTAGGATCCTGTGCGTATCTTGTAGGGTTTGTTTTGGAGACTGGAACCATCATGAGCTGAGCAGCGGCCCTTCCAGCTTTGAGACAGCTTTTAGGATGAAGTATGGTTTTGCTGGAAGTTAGTGGCATTGCCAAAGTCCTGCCAAAGCAGAAACTGGAGGCTTGGCTGGCCTCTTCACCCCTCCCTGCCAAAGGCAGCCCTGTCATCCAGAATCCTGGACTAGGCTGTCTGCCCCGTAACTGGAGGTATAGACAGGAGGCCAGCCTGGAGCTCGTTTCCCCTCCCTTCCTGGGCCCTGTGGGACATCCCTGGGGAAAATAGCTCCTTACACAGGGGGCAACAGGAGGAGAAGAAGCCTTTGGATAAACAACAGCTAAGTCATCTGGGCAGAAAAACGGCTCGTGAAATTAACCAGACGAGGCCGGTGTTTCCAGGAATATTTCAGTTCTGAGGTAACTGTATCACTGCAGGCTGGGGGGTGGGGGACACCAGAAAGCAGAAGGAGCCTACTGACCAGTCCTGGAGAGAGGCAGAAAGAAGCAGGAGTCGTAGGAATCAGAGTGGAAGCCGGTAGAGGAGAAAGGACAGGTGAAGTACAGGACTCCGCTGTCCTGTGACAGCGCTGATCTCGGGCAAGATGTGCTCCATTGCCGGCAGGGCAGCCAAGCTGGAAGGCCTGGACAGAGAACACCTGAGCTTAGCTGTGAGCACTGAGCCAGGGACGCCCAGCGCCCAGGGGCAGGTTTGGTAGAGCCCAGCTCTCTGCTTCCCTCTCTAGCTCATGGTATGCAGGTGGACCCCACCATCAGGCTGCATCCCAGCCCCTCCCCCAGCCTGGTCCCCAGCCCCAGCCCTGCCTCTGGCTGCTGCCCACTGATTGTTTACATCCCCTTCTCCTTGTGTTTATAAATCCGGCTGAGCACGTGAGGAGCTAATGAGTGCAGCTCACGTTTCCTGCTGCAGCACCCCCACACTCCCCATCCTGGCCCCTGCCAGGGCCAGCCCCTAATTCTATCCAGATCCCTGGGCCCTGGGAAACAAGGCCCCCTCATGAACACACACACACACACACACACACACACACACACACACACACACACACGCACACTGCCTTAGCCCCACCAAGCCCAAGGGCCACCCCCACAGGCTACACAGCCAGGCCTTTAGCCAACCGCCCCTCAGCTCCTGGCCCATCTCAGAGGCTGACCACCCTCAGTGAGGGTGGGGGGCTCAGCAGTGCAGATGTCCAAGGTTGATGGGGGAGACTGCACCTGGGACTGGGGCTAACAGCTGGAAATGCTATAGCTGCGTCCAGAAGTCCTACAGTCTAGGCTGAACATGGGAGCCCTCAGCCCAGATCATAACCAGCAGCTGGGTGACCTTGGAGAAGTCCACTGAGGGGAGCTGGAGGGAGTAGCCGAAGAAGGGGTGTGAGATCCAGGGGTCCTACCCAGGGAAAGGCCTTTCCATCCTCAAGACTGGTTGCCCCCTTCTATTTTTTTCCTTCCTTCGCTTCTGCCTTCTCAGGTCACCTTCCCCCAAGGCTGCTGAGGAACGGGAGTGTTGGTGAGGAGGTAGACCTGGAGATCAGGAGACCTAGCTCTGCCATGAACCCATCTGTTGACAGTGGGCGTCCATAAGGAGACTGCATGTGCTTGTTTAAGTTCCTCTCATGTGGAATCCTGTGGGCTCCATCCCTGTATCCGTCCCCACATTCCCATCTTTCTCGTCCTCTTCCCTTCTAGTCCAGAAGATAGAAGAAACCAGGGTCAGGGGAAGAAGCAGAGGCAAGGCAGATCAGTCCTTGGGAAAGTAGTCAGTCCTGGAGCTGCGCTAGGGCTGAGGGGAGAGCTGCTGCGATGTGCCACCAGAGGGCTCTGGAAGAAGTCAGGGAGACGAGTGCAGCCCACGGCCATAGGCTGAGCAGCCCACTGAGGCCAGAAGCCGCCGAAAAAGAAATGAAGGAAATAGTTCAGAGCAAGTGTGTGGGTGAACTGGGAAGGGTGTTGTGGCCAGGAGTGCGCAGGAGGGCGTGGGAGGGGGCCCGCAGAGTGCGGGAGCCAGGGTGTGAACAGGCAGGTGGGATTATGGGGAAGAATGTGAAGTGTCAGGAAATCAGTAGCCAGTGTGTAGGGGTGGCCTGCAGATGTGTGAATTGGACACTTCAATGTGCAGCCCGCGCGCGCGGGCCCATGACTCCAGGCAGCAGACACTTCTGGGACTGCCCAGGGGCAGTGGCTGCCATTTCCAGTGGTTCCTCCTCTACCTCTGAAGTGTGGGTAGAGGACACCAGGGCTAGAGGGGGGCGCCTTGTCTGTTAGGGAACTAAGGACTCGTGTTCCGTGGCGGGGAGGGCGGACGGTATGGCAGTGTGTACTGGCTTGAGACGGGTGCCTGTCCGATTCCGGGGGAGACAGAGGTGCGCCTGATGCTCCCACCTCTAGCTTCTCTCTAAGATTCGGTCTGCCGCTACCATGCTTCCAGGGTCTGCCCTCCTTCCTCTTTTGGCAGGTTCTTCCTGCCCCTGGGCTCTGCAGAACACAGAGATTGGGGGGTCTCCCAGAGGGAAGCCTCCTGGAACCCAGGGTAATATAGAAAGGTAGGTGAGAACATGGGTGTGGGGACTTGGGAGAAGCCGCGCGGACTTGGCTGGAGGGGCTCAGCCCTGAGAACTTCGGCGGGAGGAGTTGGCAGTCCGCTGGCCCTACCTCCTCGACCGTGACCTCTCATCCCGGACCCCTCCCGGCGGCGGTGGCGCCTTCCCCTTGTGTGGCCCCGGCGCCCCCGGCCCCGCCCCCCCGTCCG